TTATTATTATTTTATTAAATATCTTTTATATAATCATGTATTATGATGATTGTTTTTAATAATGATGATATATAATTATTAAGAGTGTTTATTTTTACTTAACCATTTATTATGATTATTATTTTATTATTAAACATGTTTATGTTTATATAACCATATATTATTATTATTATTATCATTATTATTAAACATGTTTTTTAACCTATTATTATTATTATTATTATTATTATTGTTATTATATTAAACAAGTTTATTTTTATATAACAATTTATTGTGAATATTACTATGATTATTATTGTTATTATTAATATTGTTTATAAATAAACTTGTTTTCTTTATAACTTGTTGTTGTTATTATTTTTAAACATTTTTATATAACCATTTATAATAATAATAATAATAATAATAATGTAATAATAATAATAAAATAATAATAATTAGAATTATTATTATTAGGATAAATTTATAATAATAATAATAATTATTATTATTATTAATATTATTATTTAATTATTATTGCTATTATTGTTATTACAATTTTGCAATTAAACCTGTTTATTTTTATATAACCATTTATTATTATTATTATTATTATTAATAATAATAATATTTTATTATTAAACGTGTTTTATAACCTATTATTATTATTATTATTATTATTAGTTAGTAGTAGTAGTAGTAGTAGTAGTAGTAGTAGTAGTAGTAGTAGTAATAGTATTAATGTTATTATTAATAATACTATTATTATTATTATTATTATTATCATTATTATTATTATTATCATTATGATTATTATTATTATTATTATTATTGTTATTATTTTTATTAACAATTTGTTTCATTATTAAACCAAGTAGAAATTATATTACATACAATTAACAGTTGTCCATTTGCTGAATGTTATTTGCATCAGGCACATGAAGGATTATTGTATGATAGGAGTGTTTCGAACCGTTGTCGCTTCATTTTGTGTCATTGTTTTGAAGGTTGTCATTGATGCAGCCCATATGGCCAGCAGTGTTACTGTTTGCTGAATGTAACAGTCTTCATCTGTGTCTCTCAGGAGCCGTTGGGGCCCAGTCCCTGTTCTCCATGCCACGGAGGCCCGGCTATGGCACCATGGGGAAACCTATCAAACTGCTGGCCAACTGCTTCCAGGTGGAGATCCCAAAGATGGACGTCTACCTGTACGAGGTGGACATCAAGCCCGAGAAGTGTCCACGGAGAGTAAATAGGTATGGTGTTTGTGTTCGTCAGAGACATTAGTCATCTTAGAAAAGTGTTTGATAAGCCCTGTGAACAATTCCTGTCTATATGAGATAAATGGAAGTTGTCTTTGTATAACTACAGGGTTCAACGCTAAAGATTTTTCTACTCGGTTTTTTACTTGCCCTGTCAAAATTTTCACTGGCCCCACCAAAAAAAAGAAGTTAATTGCTATTTCTAAGCCACATATTTTAAATAATGTGTCAAGGCAAACATAATTGTTTATAATACAATAGTTTTTATTGAGCATAACTTTAAAAAAAAATACAAATGACAATTAAAAAAAATACAATTGTGATGTAACTAAATAAATGAAAATAAGTAAAAATAAATAAATAAATAAATGAATAAATAAGTTAATTAATTAATTATTAGCCTCCCTATTTATTTTCCCCAATTTCTGTTTAACAGAGATTTTTTTCAGCACATTTCTAAACATAATAGTTTTAATAACTTGTTTCTAATAACTGATTTGTTTAATCTTTGCCATGATGACAATAAATAATATTTTAGTAGATATTTTTTAAAACACTTCTATACAGTTTAAAGTGTCATTTAAAGGCTTAACTAATTAGATTAGACAGGTTAGGGGAATTAGGCAAGTTATTGTATAACAATGGTTTGTTCTGTAAACTATTGAAAACAAATTTAGCTTAAAGAGACTAAAATTTTTGACCTTAAAATTTCTTGCCAAAATAAAACAAATAAGACTTCCTCCAGAAGAAAAAATATTATCAGACATACTGTGAAAATTTCCTGCCTTTGTCAAAAATCATTTGGGAAATATTTAAAAAATAAAAATAAAATCATCCACAGACATCATCGCCAAATATAAATCAGAGAGGTCAGAGTTTCTCATACAGAGCCTCATTTCAGTTGTCAAGTTTTGTAAAAGTTTATCTATTGTATTAATTAATCTATTAAAAAAACATTTGGATAGAATTATGCATTATAGGCTTAAACTATAGAGAGAAATTACAGATGAACAGAGACCGCATCAGATCATGAAGCAGTTTAATGTTAATCTTTCTTTATAGGTGTCATTGCAGAAATGAACAAAACATTTGGCCTAATATAACATATTATTAGATTAAAATATGCAAAAATTATCAGATGGTCATTTCAGTCAATTTTAAATCCTAAAGTATAAACAGCTCTCGTTTATGTTATCATGCTTTCACTTTTCGTATTTGACATGAAACGTACATTTGCTGGTAGGAATGACATGCTTTTCTGCATCTGAGATGGATAGCATACTTCGTAACTTAGCGATATTTCTCAGATGAAAGAAGGCAGTTTTTGTGACATGGGATATATGATTTTCAATAGTTAAATTAATGTTCCTATCTACTGTCCTGAGCGCCTTGCACGCTGGCCCCAGGCCATCGGGCAGTCCTTATTGTCGAACCCTCAACTAGCACTTCTTGTGTGTGTTGCCTCTTCTGGCTGAATGCCTCCTCAATTATATGTTGCTTTGGACAAAAGTGTCTGCTAAATGACTAAATGTAAATCTCTATTTAGTTTCCATTGCAGTTAAGAGATTTAATAAAGTTATTTCTGTTAAACAACTTGAGCTTGGCAAAAAGACACAGTTGTTATAATACTGTGATAAACGCAAAATTACATTTGGAAAGTGCTTTAACTAACTAACTAACTAACTAACTAACTAACTAACTAACTAACTAACTAACTAACTAACTAACTAACTAACTAACTAACTAACTAACTAACTAACTAACTAACTAACTAACTAACTAACTAACTAACTAACTAACCAACTAACTAACTAACTAACTAACCAACTAACGTCAAACATTTCTAGTAGGATGAATTTAATTGCTTTAGAACTTTATAATTGGCAATGTTGAGTGAAGAAGTGCTTTATATTAACGAAATGAAAGCAGTACATTGAAATGCTACATATCATTGACCCTGTTAATTCTTTAATATCAGGATAGGCTGATTTTGGTGTATGTTGCTTTGGTAGAACTAATAAAGAGCTTACTTGCTTATTTTTGATTGTAAAGTCATTGTAAAGTCATTAACTGGGTGGATCTGGTGAATTAATTAATTGAATAAGTTTTTCTTAAATACAACAACATCCTTTAAATAAATGACAAGATATGTGTCGTGAAGATGAAAGCAATAAAGATCTGGAAGTGTCACATAAAAGTATCTTTTATTCATCTCCTATGATAAATTATTGTAGTTCTGGTTTTGATGTCCTCAAAACAAAACTGAAACATCTAAAATAGTAAGAGAAAATAGTCAACCCTCTGCATTGCCACACCAATGCATTTACTTTTACATGCTTGTAATTTGTGTTTTTATTTGCATGTTCCTGTTCTCTGCAATAATAATAAGTAAATACTGAAGAGTGTTGTCTCTGCAGGGAGGTGGTGGACTCCATGGTGCAGCACTTTAAAGTCACCATCTTTGGGGATCGAAGGCCAGTTTATGATGGGAAGAAAAGTCTCTACACCGCCAACCCACTTCCTGTGGCACCTGCAGGGGTAAACAAACACAAGCTTCTTTCAGAATTTGTTTAGGCTTCATGGGTGAATATACAGATTATTGTCCAGTGGGAGTTTGGATGGAAATTTGCATGTTAAAATACTCAATAGTATTCTAGAGTTGCATTCAGTCAGCCAGCCAAGCAGTTAATCAGCCAGTCAATTAAATGAAATATGCATAAATATCAATATTTATGTTTGTAAATATATAATTTATGAATATCATAAATATGCATATTCATAAATAAAATTGTATATTATATACATATCAATACATGTAAATAAATAAAATTAAATATAAATGAAAGAAATTGAATGTTAATATGAATATTCATAAATATTATTTAAAATGAATAAAAACATTAATACATAAATATACCATCAATATAAATATTAATAAATTAAATGAAATATAAACAAATAATATTAAATACAAACAAATTAAATTAAATATGAGTATATAAATATGCATATAAATGTAAGTATAAATTAAATAAATAAATGAAATGAAATAAATTAAGTGAAATTGCTCAGAGCAGATGCAGACAGATAATCACCAAGCACTAAGTTTGGATGACATATGTTTGGGGATCAACATGTGTCAACCATCTTCTCAAGCTTGTAATGAGAGACACTTTAAAAGCAAAAGAAAAGTGCTAAGAGCTGTCTGTAAAAAATCATGAAAAACTAGGGGTCTGATTTCTGTATTCATTTGTTTGTTGTTTTAAATTGTATATTTATTTCTTGTCATGAAAATAGTCTTTGTTGACATGGCATTAAATAAAAACGCATCATTGTTTATTTTAAACTTATTGTCATGTATCCACAGGTGGATCTGGATGTCACGCTGCCAGGTGAAGGGGGCAAAGACCGGCCCTTTAAAGTCTCAATTAAGTTTGTGTCTCTGGTGAGCTGGCACCTGCTGCACGAGGTGCTAACCGGGCGCAGTATGCCAGAGCCGCTGGAACTGGACAAGCCAATCAGCACCAACCCAGTGCACGCTGTGGATGTGGTGCTCCGCCATCTGCCCTCCATGAAGTGAGTGCATGTGCAGCAATTCTAGCCAAAGCATTAACTTTTTTTTTTTTTTTTTTTTATATATATAAAGATGACAACCTACAGCTGACCATCCAATATTTATGAGCACATTAAGAATGTTAGGAGGTTAATACATTTTTTAAATAATTTCACTTGTTAATGGCTCTCTTTATTTATTTAAATGCAAGCTGTACGCTGCATTGAAAAATGTTTTTTTTTTTTTTAAACAAGCATCTTTTTTAATATGATTTTTAAAAATAATTGTGCAGTGAAAATTACAAC